ACTTCTCAGGTTCCCTACTGGAGGCTAAGCTGCCCTCACCTTCTCAGAGGCCCAACCCAAGGACCAGGCCGAGCACTACTGTTTGCTGGTGAATCTGGGCGCTTGCCTCGGGGAGAGACCCTGATGAGGAATGGTGAGGCGTGAATCTGCCTGGGTCTACATCTGGGATCACCTGAATTGAATAGCAAATGGACAGACATTTTAGCTCTCAAGGCAATCTAAATACTAGGAAAAGAAAGTTCAGAGAAGGAGGCTAAAATGATTCAGGGAGTATATTTGGAGAAGATGGATCTAGAGAAAATAGAACCCAAATATTTTGTCAATCCATAGGGGACAATTTGAAGCTACACTACATGAAGAGTTCACAATCAATTTTTTTTCCAAAAAAAGCATCTCTTGAAGATATACTTCTGACTGCTAGTAGCAAAGAAAATGAGCTCCTCATTTTATATGGAGGTTCACTGCATAAAATCTGGAAGTTTTTTTTAACAGTTTTTTAAAACCTGGAAGTTTTTTTTCCTTAACCTGTAAAGACCAAAATAGTTCAAAAGTTGGATTACTATAGAAGTTACTATATTTTAGTCTTTTTTCTTCAAATATTTTCTCCAGATCACAAAGTATAAACAAATTTATATTCTGCTAGTTTTATTACATAATACTGCAATCTTGAAATTTTTGAGTATTTAAATTATTTCCACATTTTATAAGTACAAGCTAAAAAATCTGAATTTTCTTGTGTGCTAAATTTTTTTATACATGAGCATCAATTATGGGAATTTTTATTGAATTTATAACATCTATGAAAAATGTAGTATTATTGCTTTTTCTATACATTTTTGAAAGGTTTATACCAATTGACTCCTTTCATCACCCTCTCATTGGCACAGACTTTGTAATTCCTACAATATTCATCAATAAGATACCACTGTTTTAATTTCCATTTCTATGTTTGCTGTTGAGATGGAGTATTTTGCATTTATTTATTAACCAATTATAATTTTTCTTTGTGAAACAGCCAGGATTTTTCTCTTTATAATAATTTTATAGTGATGCATTAGAAATTTTTCTTAGTAATCTCTAGAAAAGCTTCAAAAATATCTTAATTATTCCTTTAAACATTTCAGGCAATGGTTCTGCCAGTTTGTCTGCCATAAAACATTGTAAACATGTTACATTGTCCAAAAAAAGGCAAAAACTGTAATAGAAATCAGTTACCTACAAAAAGAAGATAAAGCCCTGGCTGGCATAGCTCAGTGGATTGAGCAAGGGCCTGTGAACCAAAGGATCGAAGTTTGATTCCCAGTCAGGGCACATGCCTGGGTTGCAGGCCAGTTCCCAGCAGGGAATGCACAAGAAGCAACCATAAGTTGATATTTCTCTCCCTCTCTCCTTCCCTTCCCCTCTAAAGATAAATAAATAAAATTGTTTAAAAAAAAGAAAATAAATCATCTGGAAGGCTAAAAAAGAATCTAAGCTGTTACACTTTCAGATGTTTGAACAATGTGAATATATTATGTATTCAAAGTTTTTAAATTTATGTACTTAATTCTAAAAAAATCTCATCTCAAACTGGTGTCAACCACAATGGCAAACTAGAGGGTGGGAAGGTATCACCACAGCCACTAACTAGGTTTTATCTCAATTATTTGTGGAATGTTATAAAACTCCCCATCATCCCATCTCCCTGTGGTAGCCTTCCAGATGGCCCCCAAGGGTTCCCTGCCCCCTGCTATTCTTGTGGTCCACTTTTCTGTTATATCAAGGCTGGTCTGTGTGACCAACAGTATACAACAGTAGTGATGGTATTTCATCTCTGAGACTCAGTTGCAGCTTCTTCCTTGCTCTTAGATCACTAACTCTGACAGAAGCCAGATGATATGTCTTGAGGAGCACATGACAAGGAACTAAGGCCTCCTGCCAGCAGCCAATCAAGTTTAAAAGTTGATTGTGTTAGTCCATTCAAGCTGCTCTAACAAAATATCAAGGATCAGGTAGCTTATAAACCATAGAAACGTATTGCTTACAGTTGAGGAGGCTGGGAGTCAAAGGTCAAGAGTGCCAGCATGACCAGGTGAGGGCCCTCGTCCAGGTCACAGACTTCTCACGGCATCATCACATGAAAAGGGGGAAAGAGAGCTCTTCGATATCTCTTCTATGAGTAGTAATCCCACTCGTTAAGATTCCACCCTCATGACCTGATCACCTCCCAAAGGCCCCACCTACTAATATCACCACATCTAGGGGTTAGAATTTCAGCATGAATTTGGCAGGGTTGGGGGGGGGGCATAAACAGACCATGGCACTAATCCTCCAGCCTGTCAAGCCTTCAGACAATTGTAGCTCCAACCAACATTTTAATTGCAACCTCATCAAAGCAGTAAAGCCAGGAACACTGACTTAAACCAATTCCAGATTCTTGGCCCTTGAAAAAAATCCCAAGATTTTTTAAATAAAATAAATGTTTGTTGTTTTAAACTGTTAAGTTTGGAGTAATATTTTATATAGTAACAGATAACCAATACAGATTTTTGGACCTGGAGGGGCATGCTGATGTAACATTGTACCTAAAACATGGAAGTGTTTTTGGAACTGGGCGGTGTGCAAAAGCCGAAAGGACTCTGAAGAGTTAGTATAAGCCTTAGTGGGAATAAACAAAAAAACAAAAACAAAAAAACTGGACTTTGACTTTGAGACAGCTCTACTGTAGCTTAAAAAGAAGTGAAGAACATGTTACTAGAAAATTGAGAGTTATGTAGTGGCTGAAAATTTAGTAACAGCGCCTGTAGTGATATAAAAAGTAGAAAATGTACGTAATTGAGTCAAAGGTGAAACTCACTTACCTTTCCCTTGGACTGAACTTCGTGTCTCCCTTCTAATAACAGAATAGAATCTTAGTGTCTCCCTTCTAATAGAATATCATAGAAATGACAAGTGAAACTTCTGAGACTAGGTCATAAAGGCATTGCAGACGCCTTGCTCACTCTTGGACACTTGCTCTAGAAGCCAGCTAGCTGTGTCTGGAGAATGCCCAGGTAGCCCAGTGGAGAGGCTCACGTGGAGGAATTGAGGCTTTCTCCCAACAGCCAGCATGGAACCAGTTTCCTCTCATCAGCCATGCGAGTGAGCCATCTTGGAAGCAAATCCTTTGAGCCCCCGTCAAGGCTCCAGGTGATTGCAACTTCATGAAACCCTGATGCAGAACAACTCTGCTAAGCTGCTCCTGGGTTCCTAGCTCTGAGACACAGCAAGAGGTAATAAATGTTTCTTTAAGCTGTTAGTTCTATGGTAATTAATTATACATCAATAGACATCTCACTCCCAACATTAAGCTCTGTCTTTAACCCAGTGGCTCTTCCTGTTACAGGGACATATTTTAGCAAGATTCCTGCTGGATCAGTTTAGGGAAAATCTCCACCCTTTATAGCTGATCAAATTCCTCATCACCCTGGCTTGTCTTCAGTATAATCCTGTCAAATTGGTTTGGCCAGAATCTACCTCACCCCTGAAAATTACCTCTTGGTAATTTTCCATCCACTGACACCCGCTCTGCTCCTGGCTATAAATCCCCCCAACTTTGCACTTCGTGGAATTAGTTAAGCTCAGGCTCTCTCACAAACCCTCATTTTATCTAGTGTTATACTAGTCCCTCCCTGAATAAAATTTTCCTTACCATCTTTAACAGTGTCAAGAATAACATTTTAACATTCCCAAGTTTTGTTACTAGGAATTATTCTCAAACTAGTATTTTCATACCTTTACCTTTTTTATACTATATTCATTTTGAGGGACAAATTTTTAGATTAAAATATTTCATAGCTTCACCATAGAAACAAGAAAGTCATTTTAAAATAATTCATGTAGTAATTTGCAAAGGATGTGTATATACAGACATGTCAGTGTATACACATACACATACCCTCCAAGAAAAACATTCTCAGTAAAACTATAAATTAAGGCTAAAACAGCCTGCAAATGTTACTGGAATTAACTTACAAAAAAGGTATGGAGAATTAAAACTCTAATAAAACTGAAAATATGCATCAAAATATTTGGGTTCAGACAAACCTATAAACAAAGTTAGGCATTATTAAATCCTTTTCTTTTAATTTTTAAAAAGATTTTATTTATTTATTTTAGGAGAGAGTGGAAGGGAGGGAGAAAGAGAAAGAGAGAAACACCCCCAACCAGGAACCCAGGCGTGTGCCCTGAAGGGGAATTGAATTGACCCTCCTCTGGGTTCTCAGGCCAGCACTCAATACACTGAGCCACACCAGCCAGGACTTAAATCCTTTAATACAAAAACAAAACAAAACAACAAAAAAAAACTTTAAAAAATAAAAAGCCATAAAAAAGAACAACCCTTAAAAAGTAGGTGTATAATGAATCAAGATAAAAATATTTAGAGAATAAAATCAAAACTACTTGGGATAATAAATCAAGACTTGCTTCTTGGAAAAAGTAAACCAGAAATATTGATAAAACTGTGGCAAATCTAATGAGGGGGAAAGAAAATACATTTCAACATTAGAAATGAGAAAGGGAATAACATGCTGAGGGGGGAGGACAGTATTCAACCCCAAGTGGAACTAACAGAAAAGTTGTGAATCCAGCCAAGCAAAACCCTGGGTCAGTAAAGGAAAAGTAAATGATTATCTCAATAAATGTCATAAACTATCCAATAAAACAGTTCTCTTTATTTATTTAAATAACAATTCTCTTTAAAAATTCTAAACAGAAATTCCTTAAACAGTATACTCATTACCTTTAATGGTAAGCATTTCTCATTAAAACCAAGATTAAGAAAGTCTATTTTCATATCATCGTTCAGATGTTCTGGCCAATACAATCAAAGTCCAAAGAGTTTACATAGTGGTACTAAAAAATAAATAAATAAACTAAAAACATGCCATGTTACTGATGAAAAGACATACGAAAAAAGCATTTTTTCAAAAGAACATTTTATTACTATAATTGCTACTTACATTTTTTGGCAACAATAATAAACTTTATCTGAAAGAACAAGCAAGCAAAATAGACAGGGAAATTCACAAGAGGTAATTACAAAATAGTAATCTTGACTGCTATTCAATATATTTGTAAACAAAAGAAAGTGACATTGCCTTTAAAAAATATAGAGGTATCAATAGAAAAACAGAGAAAGCTCCTGAAGGAACTCAACTCACTATATTAATTTTCTTTTGGTTGCAGGCACAGAAATGGACTCAGGCTAGCTCAATTCTTAGAAGCAAAGCCCTTAATGATTATCCCTTCCCAGCTTTTTGGTGAAAACCTAGGAACTTTAACTAGATCAGAGAGAGAAGGAAGGAGAGGCATAAAGTGTCTTTATGGGAAGAAAAGGGATGAGGGTCAAATTTTATTCAGTGTCATTTTAAGGACATTGACAAAATCCAATGACTCAAAGAAAATGTCCAATAATTAATTAATTGAGGTAGCAAACCATGCAGGTTTGGGGGAAGAGCTTTCTAAGACAAAGAACAGCAGTTGTAAAGTCTTTGGATTGGAAAGAAATGTGATTTGCTTGAGGAGAAGCAAGACCAGTGTGTCAAAAATAGTGCATCACTGGGAAAAATGGTAGAGTACCATGGTACAGAATGAAAGAGAAGAGGTGGGCAGGGCCCGTATCACTGAAACCTTGGCAATAAATAACAACTGCACTCCTTAGGGGCATATTTTAGTAAAAGAGCAAACAGCAGGAACAGTTGATAAAACTAAGCAACAACAAACACACAGAACTAAAACAGTTCATATTTTTACTATCAAAACAGAATAAGGGAGATAAGTATGCAAAGTCTGAAGCTCTAATTATACAAAGGAGCTTCCACCTGACAGCAGAACAAGTAGAACACACGCATAAACACATTCTCTACACCTAAGAAAAAGGTTCAGACTAAAATTTTAGCAAAGTGCCTTGGTCCAAGCAAACTAACTGAAAAGGCTTAGTTAAATGTTCAAAGTGCAAATCAAATCAGTCAAGCAGTGAGCAAACTGATACAATGGAATCTACGTTATACTCACAGCTACACAGTTGTCTGCAGTTTTTTTCTCCTGAAATTCTAAGAGGAATGCTAAACTCTTAATGATTATCACTTCCCAGCTCTTTGTGAAAGCTTAAGGAATTTAATTAGATTAGGGAGGAAAGAAAGGAGTGGGGAGAGATAAGGTGCCTTTAAGGAAGAGGAGAAAGCAAGGGAAAAAAGATGTCTCCTGGCTTGGATCTCAGATCCCTTGAATGTGCACAGAAGCTGCCAGGTACCTGGGTCAGGGGTGGGAGAAGGAAGGCACCAGAATATACCGAGGAAGACTCAACCCTGGGAACCCACAGAGGCAGCCAAGGCTGCTGCTATTAAATAAATTCTCAGAGGGTACTCCACAGTTCTGTGGAGAAGCCCTTGGAAATGGCAAGGAAAAAAGGTCTCCCACATATCAGAAAGGTGGACAGGTTAGATGAAGAGCAGCAATTCTACAACCTAATACTTACTGAAAAAAGGGTCATTTCTTGCACATTGGAATGGGTCAAGTAACATTCAAACAGTGTTAACTTCATAAAGTGGAAAATTATACACACAAGAGAATAACTGTTCAATGTAATACATTCATGTCCAACAGGCAGGATGCAAAACTGCAAACTTCACATGTTCAATTAGGGTGAGATACATGAACAGAAAAAAAAATACAAGAAAATGCCCTACAATCAGCTTAAGTTTTAGTCAGTCATCTGGGCTATTTTTATCCACTATACCTAGTGTTCTTGGACAACCCCCATTCCAGCTTAACAGAACTAAATTGAGCTCTCAGTCTGTGAACTTGACAGATACAATCTGTTTGGCCCTTTCCAGTTAAAATTATGGGTCCAGTACATTTCAAACTATAGATGCCAAAGCTTTTTTCCCTTGGGAAACTTCACTTCTTTACTGCTGTGGCTGTGAGGGACATAGTTCATTCTGACCGAAGGCCAGGAGAAAGGAGAAGGGAGGGAATATATCAAATTCCCCTGCGGATCACTAAACATAGGTCCACTGGCACCAAGCACCATTCTATTAACTACCTCTGCTTCTCCAGCTGAAGTCAGTGATACACTAGTTGTTTGATGTCTGCAGGGACCCCTCACCAAATACAGGCATTCCATTGTAATGGTCTTGCTTTCCTGGATGTATATGGGCTAGGTAAAGATACCCTGAAACAGAATTCCTTATGCCTTAGCTCCAAGACACGTAAATGTGTACCCCTCTCTCAACTGGACAAAAGAGCCACTGCTGTCCACTGACTAACTTCCCACTTTCTGGTCCCATTCACACCACAGCTTCTTGCTCAACTTCTCCACATTCAAGCTTTCGGAGCCAAGTTTATTTTAGGCTAGCACAACAGAGGCACTTCTGGGAGTTCAGCAGCAAACAGGACTATGCCATAACAAAGCCATCCCAATTTGACTAGAGGTAACATTAAAGTCTTCAGGGTATGGAAAAAGTAGAAAATAAAATTAGACACTTAAACTCTCTATATACAGGCAGAGGTTACACACTCACAAGTAACATGAAATAGCAAAATAATAAATATGTTTTCAACTTCTTTCTTTCACATACATACACACACACAAGCACCTTTTATGAGTTAAGCCACATCCAGTCACATAAAATCTAAGTAATACATTTTAAAATAACATCTCAAAATTTGTATCAAATAATACCATATTTCATGAATTAAAAAACTCATATTTAAGCTATTAAAGAATGTATGGTTTATATTTTTTTGTTTATGGTATCTCTGACTTTCATTAAAATACTCGCTTTAGTTTTCCTGAAATTGGGATTCACAAGGTTTTCTTTTTTTAATTCTACTTTAGGCCCTGAGGGGTGATGATTCAGAATCAGATGTGCTCACAGTAATGGATGCCACCTCCACTGACCCTGGTTGAAGAGGTTCCAGTGATACTTGAATAACAACTTTAGTTTCAGGAGGCAACCCTTCTAGTTGCTTAGGCTTCTTAAACATTTGATGACACCGGGTCTTGTGCTCCATTTTCTCCTTGAAAGTTAAAAACTGTAGTCGGCATTTGGAACATTGATGAAAACTTTTTTCCCAGTGTCCTCTATAATGACACATGTAGGGTGTTGCCGTTTTGAAAATTTTGAGACAAAATGGACAGAGCAAATTCTTAGTGCTTTCATGGCATGTTCTGAAATGTGTTTCCACATCAGCAAAGACCGACGATCTGTAACTGCAAACCTGGCACACATAGGGCATTTCGCCAGGCTTGTGATTATCCTTCATGTGCTGTAAGAGAAACTGATCTGTTTCAAATGACAATTCACAAATTCGACAGACAGCAGAGGGCTCCTGGGCAGTGTGCACACTTCCAATGTGACACTGTAGCTGAAAGACAGTGGGAAACTGCCGGTGGCAGTGCTGGCAGGTGGTGTGGGTTTTCCAGTTGTCACACCTCTGCTTCTCAAGTTCCAAATGATGCTTCATGTGATTCATAAACTTGACATTTTTTAGAACTTTCAAGCAGCTAAGGCATTTAAAGGTTGTGTGGGTCTTTTTTTCTGGCTGCCCATTTCCTTTATGCTGTCCATAGTAAAAGTCATGAAGTAACACGATCAGATTTCCTTTCTTGGGATCAACAGTCTTGTTTTGACTTGCTAGACTTGAAAAGTCTGTTTTTGTCTGTCTATTTTCTCTAACAGGATTTGTAGTATTGAAATGGACACTGTCCTTTGGATAAGCTGTTGGAAAAGGTGCTCTGTTCTGAATAGGGCTTAATGAGGTATGAACACCATTTGAGGGTGTGGTCTGCTGAGGAATAATTGTATGAAAAATTCCTGAAGAGGATAAAGCTGAAGAATGTCCCCCTGTGATTCCATTACTGAGTTTAGGCCTTTTGGGATTTATGCTGTTTACTTCAGAAGTTGAAAGTTGCTTTGATGCACAACTTCCTACAGAAAGTGCTGCTCCTACTGGGTGCTGCAATGAACTTGTGAATGTAATCAAAGGAGAACATAACTCTGAAGAGCTATTATTAGGCACAACATATGGTGAGTTACCTTTACAATCAGGTTTAGACAAAGGCTCAGTGATAATAATAGGACTATCTGTTAATCTTGATTCAGATTCAGAAACTGGCAAGACAGTCACTGCTTCTGATGTAGGGGTGACATGACGACTTACAGGCCGCAATTTGCGAGCAGTATCATTTCTGCAGTAAGCATACTTTTTTCTCCTTGAACATGAACCTGGGGTGACTCTGTTCAAAATGTTTGAAACGACTGGTTTTGAATGTGAAGTCACCCCAACAAAGATCAGCTCAGCATCATCATTTACATGTTCCACTCCAACAAAGATCAGTTCTCTATCATCTTCATCTGCCTGTTTTCTTTCTTCTGTGCTCTTCTGTGGTTCTGGCCCTTGTTCTTCCTCACGTACACGTGTTGGTTCCATTTTCTATTTCTTTTTTTATTGTTGAAGGGTGTAGCCTTGTAGCACAAGTCCCAGTGCTTCCTTTATATGAACTGCCACCTAAGTACAAACAACACTACACATCAGTAAGTATAGAAAAAAAACATATTTAATTCTCTCCAAAACTCTTAGTTATGTACATCCTTATTTTACAGCTAAGGGCACTGAACATCAAAGAGGATAAATGACAGCTTAAAACTGATTATCCTGGCTGGTGTAGCTCAGTGGATTGAGCGTTGGCTGTGAACCAAAGGGTCGTTGGTTCGATTCCCAGTCAGGGCACATGCCTAGGATGCCGACCAGGTCCCCAATGGGGGTCACGTGAGAGGCAACCACACACTGATGTTTCTCTAACTCTCTTTCTCCTTCCCTTCCCCTCTTTCTAAAAATAAATAAATAAAATCTTAAAAAAAAACTATGATTACAAGTCTGTGCAACTCTAGAATCATAGCTTTGTCCTATCCTAATTATGCTCTCTTCTATTAACAAAAACTTCCAACAACTAATCATTAGGCAAAATCACAAGGACAAGTATTTTTGACAAAGGTACCATTGCATAGTGTTTAGAAAACAAGACTCAGAATCGGAAACGATAAAGCTGGAAACTAAGTCAACTTCACAGCAGCTGCAGCTTCTTTGGGAAGTTTATAACTTTAAATGTTATAAAAAGGCAAAAATTCTTAAGACTTAAGGTAACAATTCTTTTTAAAAAGCACCAACTAGTCAATGGCAGTTTGTTTTGTAGTAGAATTGAGAAAAATTTATATTAAATGCACATATTCAAGTGGATTCACACATAATACTAATACAGTAAAGTATCAAATTCAAAGAATAGACTAAGAGTACCTATACAGTTAACATAGAGTATAATTCAATGTCAAGCACTTAGAACATACAACTCTCTTGATGATCTCACGCTAACTCAAGGCCTTAATTATAACTCATTTGCTGATGTCTCCTAAATTTCTCCCTCCAGACCTTACTTCCCCACTGAACTTAAATCCAACAGTGCTTCCTCGCTCCCTCACCTCACCTCACTGTCTTCTCCACATAGCAGGAAAGTGATTCTGTCAAATCACATTCTACCACTGCTCAGCTCAAAACTCTCTAAGAGCTTTCTGGTTTATTCAGTAAAGGACCAAATCCCTCCAATGCCTACAAGACCATGTTTCCAACCCTGCGTATCATCCTGTAGCTATCTCGTACTCCTCACATCCACTTCATTCTAGCCACACTAACCTCCTTACTATTTCTTAAACACACAGAACACTTCTGCTTGCTTAGGGCTTTTGCATTTGCTGCCCCTCTAATATGAATCCTCACCATCCAGATATTTGCATGGCTGGCTCCTCGCTGCCTTAGGGCTCCTCGCCGCCTTAGGGCTCCATGCCAAGTCTTGCAGAGAGGTTCTCAAATACACCAACAAACTTCTAACTCATATTCCTGATATCTCTTCCCTTCCTTTACCTTCAATCCCTTAATACCACCTACGGTATTATAAATTTTATTTCTCTTGATTCTTTTCTAGTAAAATAAACTCCAAAGGGTTGTATCCCCAGCACTGGAGCTCAACAAATACATTATTTGTTAAATGAGTTAATAAATAGTATGTATTAAGAACTTTCTTTTGTAGAGCACACTGTGCTCCATTAATTCAATGTTTTCTATGAATTTACTTTGAGAACCTTGTCCACAACAGAAATCCTATAAGTCTTTAATATAAGTCTTTAATCCTATAATACTTTAAATAAAGTATTTAAAGCTATTACCCCATTACAAACATTTTTTGCTACAATCTATAATAAAAATAAAATTTACATGGCAACCAACTACACAAACATATATACATAATAATTTCCTTTACCACATGGGATGCTTATTCTAGTATTTTCTATTTCATTTTTCCTAAATTGACCATGACCCACAAATTCAATTATGATTCATCAGTGGGTACACTACCAGCAGTCTGAAAACCACTGGGTTTAGTCTGGCAAATGCAGGCACTTTAAGCCACAGTTCAAAACTCACCAACTTCTGAAAATAACGTCAAATTCATTGTAGCCCAATGTGGGTATCTTCAAACCAGCACAATCCAATCTATAAAAATCAAACTGCATCTACTATGTGCTATGCACCTCTCATTAATTTAATTAGCTTATTAGTATATAATTTTGGAACATGTAGATATCTAATCCTGCAAACGTGTATCAACAGAGAAGTAAATATAAAAAGATATGTAATATAAAGAATAATAAAAATTATTCTTTTCCTCACTATTCCACAACTATATTTTGCCTGTCCAACACTGGTCTGAAAGCACTATCAAGCACGGAAAGTACTGAATGCATAAAGAAAAAAAGAAAGTGGTAAATGCTTGAAGCTTATAGTCTGATGTGTCATAAGCATAAACTTTAAAACCAAGATTAAGTAAATAATTAAGAGATATGTAATGCAAGAAAACATGATGCAGATTTGAAAACACTGCTCTTTGGAATCCACAAAAATGGGTCTGGTGTATCTATCCACAATTTCAGTCATTTAACTCCAGATGCCACATAGTCCAGTGTTTCTCAATCTAAGTTGAGAAAGAGCAGATAATTCTTTGCTGTGGGAGACTATTGGCCGCATTTAGGACATTGAGCAGCATCTTTGGCCTCTACCTGCTAATGCCAGTAGCAATCCCCTAGTTGTGGCAATCAGAAATGTTCTGTGGGAGAACTTCTTCCTTAATCTAACCTTCTCTACATGATCACTTCCACATTTCTAGTAACTCCCTTCTAGGTAATTCTATATTTATGCTCTAATATCTTCTCTAAAAAACCATAAATCTAAATTATTAATATTCTTCCTGATAACATAAAAATCAGAAAGTAATTTGATGAGTAATATAACCATCATGTAACAGGGTGCAGCCAAGGGGGTGCCCCAAATAGGAATTTGTAATGGGGCCCAGAAATTGGTGTCCAGAAAATATTAGAAAGAAATATATATATAGGATGTCCTCATCCCCACAAGTCTGAGCTGGGGGGTGGGATACATGGAACAGGGCCATTGAGAATTGTTTTGAATAGCAACATTTTTGCAAATAACCTCTAGAATCATTTAACATATTTATAACCCTTAACTGGTTTCACAGATATGTTAAACAGCTGTGGTCATGCTTTGAGCCAGGGGGATGGGAGCAACTTCGACTCATGATGTAACTGAAAGGCAACTTCCCCTGGTTATATAACCTTCGTAAAAGCTTGGAGATGATTGGCTTCACACCACAGGGCCACACCTCCCCGAACTTATTATGGCAGACCAGTAAAACTACAGAAATACAGGAATGCTGGCAGCTGTGGCCAATTGTGGGAGGAGTACGAAATGGGACTGCAGAGGAAGACTGGCGCTGGGATTGAAACCCAGGCATGGCATCCATGCAGCTTGGGCAGAGAAGAACTGGGCATCTTTTTGGGACCGCACAGCTTGAGCAGAGAAGAACCATGGACTTCTATTTCTTTTTCTGAGATACGGTACCCTGGACTGGGCAGAGGAGGAAGGAAGGACTGTGCATTTGTGGCTATTCTAAAGGACTTTGGGATCTCAGTGAAGACATTAAGTCATTACTCTTAAATTTTTGTAACTCTTTAAATAAATAATCCCTTTCCTTTTCACGGATCTCTGGCATTGAGAGATGTCTTTCCCTGGCAGTGGGCAAGGCGAACCTAGTACAGGGTGGGAGACCCCTGGAGCACAAGGGTAGGTCGATTTGGTAATAGTATATCATTCAACCCCTCCCTGGGGTCTATTCTGTAACAACCAGAATTATCTGAAGATGGACTTCGAAAGCCTAGAAAAGTTTATGATTCACCTAAAGGTATATATGTACTGTTTGGGAACCGAGACATTAGCTGTGTGATTCCTGAATTCTGGTCCTATGTTCTCTCCAAAAGAACTCTAATTTAATACATACCTGTTTCTGATTATAATGCTATTAATTGCTTAGCCTCTAAGGATCAAAGAACTTCACTGGATTCATTTTTACTCTCCTTCTGTTAGATGGCAGCTAGAAATAAGCAGCCAGAGGGGACATAAAGGCAGGGCCCTCAACATAATAATCTAACAAAGAACTTAATCTAGGAGAATAGAAGCAAAGGAAGACATGCCTTACCTGTTGCCCCAGCAGTCTTGAGCCTAGTCCAATACAATTGCCAGGTATTCCGAACAACACAAGCAAAACTATGACAGCACAGGAGGAGCGGACAGTCCTTGAGACTGGGCTTCTGTAAGCTTCTATAACAATCTTATTAAGATTGCCAGGTGTCCTGAACATCCCAAGGCCTGGAAGGTGGGAGAGGAGTCCCTGAAATTCTATGTACTATTTCCACCATCTGGGGAAAAAAACCCACACATACCTACATTTGGGTGGTCACATCCCCTGGGGAAGGTGGTACCACTTTTATCCAATGATCAACAGGTAAATTCCTCACCCCACCCCACCAACTATACAAGTCCTCAGAACAAAGGACCTGATGCCTCTGGCCACCTGGTTTATGACCACCCAGCCTTTTGCTACCCTTGCTCTTGCCACCCATGCTCTTATCTTTTCCCCCCACCTCAGAACCTATCACTAATAAACCCTGCTTGCTCGCTAATAGTCTTGCTGATCTGAATTCTTTACTGCCTCGGCAAGAACCAGGTTTCTCCTGTTAACACTTCTATGTTGTAAAACTTATTCTAACCTCCCCCAGCTCCCATCAAATTAATCACAGAAAATTGTAAGAAATTCTAAATAACTTTTTAGAGCCTTGATCATTCTAACTACATTTCATTTACATTCCTATTAAAGCACCTCTTCCCAACTTCTAGGTTTAGGTCCACTAATTACTTCATGTTTGTACCTATGTAATAAGCTCCAAATTGTTCTGTATTATCTCCCTATCCTTCAAATTATATAACACACCACCATTTGAATATTCAAACACCTAAATGTTGAATGACTCCTTCAATCCTTGGCAATACATTTTAGGTTTTGCTATGGACTGAATTGTATCCCACCCCCCAAATCCACGTGTTGAAGCCCTAACCCACTCCCCCCCCCCCCCCCCCCCCCCCCCCCGTGTAATAGAATTGGAGCTAGGGTCTTTGACAGGTAATTAGGTTTAGATAAGTTCATGAGGGTGGGGGGACTCATGATAAGATTAGTGCCCTTAATGAGACCAGAGGAAGCTTGCTTCCTTCTCTATTCTACCCCCATATAAGGACACAGGGAGAAGGTGGCCATATTCAAACCAGGAATAGAGCATACTCACTGGGGAACAAAGTCAGCCATCACCTTGATCTTGGACTTCCCAGGTTTCCAAATTATGAAAATCTCCTGTGTTAAAAAAATATAAAATAAACAAGTTCTAGTAACACTGCTGCACTTTTGCTCATCTCATATTCATTGGATTTCTAGCTATTATCCATATTGATTTCCCTTCCCTCCAACCAATAATTCAAGATGGAAAGTTAATACAGAAACAATCAGACAAAGTAAATAAATTAATGAGTTCATTTAGAACAAGCATAACATTAGAACATGGGAATTTTCTTACCACTTCTCCAGTGTCCTCATTTTCTATAATTTATCACAATCTTGAGACAGTGGAGTTACGAGGCTGGAACTGTAAAGACCTACTAGATCTAAGGAGTCAGCCCTGAAAAGTCACTTCATACCCCTCCAGCCAGAAAGTTGCCAAGGGCTATAGGAGGAGCCTAAGTAAAGGTTTCATTCCAAAGACAGCTGACAGGTCAGTTGGTGATAATCTACTCCTAGCTTATTCCTGTACATTTACACAATGGACCATGTAAGTGGGCCCTTGTTATTATTATCACCAGCTTTTCCCAGGCATCTGTCCTTCTTCAGTAACTTCCTAAAATTAGGCTTCCTCTAGTACCTATCCTCACCATCTTTCCTTGCCCCAGACCCTTTTCACCCCAGAACTACTCCAATTCCTGTTCCAACTCTCTCACTTTCTCCCCACCCATAGCACTTGTGTCCCTTCCCCACCACTATTCCTCCCCCTTCCTCCATTAACCCATACATATATGCTGCCTTAGAATTTAATGCCAAGTAAACACAGAGAAGTAGAGGTACTAAGGAGTCAGATTTTAGATCAGTATCTTGAAGGTCCATAAGATTTGTTGATGGATTGGATTTGGGATTTGAAGATGAGGCTGACATACAACAGGTGATACTAAGCAGATAAATATATAAAACCTGAGCTCAAGGAAAGGTATGGACTAGGTTATACAAATGTTGGAGACTTCAGCATGTAGTGTTACTTAAAATACAAGGTTGGATAAGGTCATTTAAGGAAAAAGATCCTAGATCCAAGCCATGGGACATTCCACTGGTTAGAGATCAGTGGAATGAGAAGGAACCAAAAAAGAATATGAAAAAGTAAGTTACTCACAGCCACGTGGATGAAAGTGGGAGGGTAGAGAGAAGATCAAGAAACAAAAGCATCCTGTAATCCAAATAAGGTGGAAATGAGTTACTTTGACAAAAGCTACCAATGATGTTGGGAACCACCCTGCCTGGTTTCAGAAGCTGTAACCCACCAAGGCTAAGGATGAGTAAGGACCTTGAGACTCTAAGCCACTAAGGAGACAAAGCTTATCTCCCTGGCAGGGGCACTGCCTCTGCCCTCTTTACTTCACCCTGCTTGGCCCTGAGCCTAGACGGTCAGTCCAACCCAGTAAGATTCCTCAAGGGAGGGATGACCTAAGACAGACACACAGGGGAGAACTTGGGCGCTACAGTAAAACGGGGTGATGGACCCTCACCCCTTGGCTTTGACATACCCTGAGTCCTCATTCTGTCTGCAAGAAGTCTCCTAATCTCTTGGCTGCCTTTCTTCCCTTGCCTGACTTAAGCCTGAAACAATGACAAAGGGAGGTACAGACCTGGGCTGGAAAGGGCAGGTTCCTCAGGGGAGCAGGCCTAAGAAAGAAGACATAAAATCCTGTGAAACCAGCTTTGCTAAGAATGCACTCAATTTTCTGATAAGAGTCAGAGCAGGAAATAAGTTTGTTTCCCAATGTTTCATAGCCCTTTAGCTAACAGACCCTGGCTCAGAATAAGCCCTCATAGTTCTCTGTATATTATCTATTGTTTGATCATTACTACCTGACAGTGATTAATGAGCTTTACCTATATTACTGTGAAAAATGAACTTAATAAAAGCCCATTGAGGAAAAGGCTCTTGGTCCTTCTCCTTTGAGAGCTTGACCATCTTCCCTCCCCAAATAGATCATGTCTTGGTAGACTTATTCTCATCCGTGGGGGTTAGGGGGGAGCCCTGTGGGCAGAGCCTCCCTCCACAACAGGTCAAATTTTTTAAAAACTCAAAATTGACCACTGAATTAAGCATTATGGAATTCATTATTAGCCTTAACAAGAATGGTTTTAAAGAAGAAAGAAAGAATAGCAGTTAGCAAATATAAACAACTCTTAAGAGAAATTTTCCAAATATGAAATAAAATAAGCAGGAGGGGATCTGCAATCAAAAGGTGACTTTTTTAATGAGGTGACATTATAATCAGTCTGTTTACAGATGGGAATGATCCAGAAAAACAGACAACATAATCGAGAACAAAAAGGAGACTTGCCAGAACAATATCCTTGAATAAACAAGAACTGCTTTGATCTAGTACACAAGTAGTGGTTTTGGCCTTAGCCTAGAGCCAGATAATTGACTCATGGTCATAGGACAATATCTGAGAGCATATGGGGGAAAGGCTGAAACAGTATATTCCAACCTTTTGGAGGAGGAGTATATTCCAACTCCTCTTGGAGGAGTTGTAACCAACCTTCAAGACAGCCCCAAATGAATCCCACCTCCCAGTATTCACTCTCTTGTGCAGCCCTCTCCCATACTATCACAGGGTTGGCCTGTGGGGCTAAGCAAACACAGCACACTCAACTTTTGAGAGTCTGTATTTCATCTTGGGTGCAAGCTCTCTCTCAAATCACTCACTCTGGGGGATGCGAGCTGCCATGACATGAGCAGCCTAATGGAGAGGCCCACAGAGTGAGGAACTGAAGGCTCTAGGTAACAATGAAGTGAGTGAGCTTAGATGAAGATCATCCAATGCAAGTCAAGTCTGCAGATATAGCCAAAAGCTTAAGTACCACCTCATGGGAGACCCTAAGCCAGAACCACTCAATGGGTCTCACTGAGCTGTATATCCAAGTTGCTGGGCATACAACATACCTATAAACTTGCCTTCCTCTATCCAGTCACATTCAGTTACAGAAATAAAGCCCTTTTGGAAAAGGGTATAGAGATTAACAAACTAACCCCATGTAATCATTTTAACCAATATACATTCACCCTAAGTGAATCACTTATTACCTTAACACATTTGCTGAAATCTTATGCTTTGTGGTGTCAGCCCATTTTAGCATCATAACATGCTGAAAGAATCAGGCTTACATAGCTTAAAATCTATGGTGCTCTTAATTTTTTTTTCCTTTCAAGGGATCAGGTAAAAGAATTTCACAACCACCCTCCCCTTTTTAAAAAATCAATTCAGAAGGTTCCAAAATTACCTAAATCAATGATTAGCCTGAATTTATCACAGATAGTCAGATTCAGATTACACCCGCTCAGAAAGCACTATTGAAATCCTAATGTTTAAGCACAGGAGAGAACAAGAGAAAAATTGAAGGAAAAAAAAAAGATACAATTTTAAGTCCTCATGATAAAGATTTCTCTTCTCTTACCCTGTGTGTGCACTGAAAACTTCCAAGAACTTGACATATTCCAGGTAGGAGATCACACCCTTGAGGCAAACAGACAGAAGGATTGAGGTCACTTACATGTTTCAGAAATAGTTTCTAAACCCCGCCTACCTGATGCTGCCATTTGGCTGTTTCTCAAGCATCTCCCACTTAACCAGAAAAGAGAATTTAATTCCTTCCCTTAAAGCGATTCCTATTTAAAAAATTTAAATTTTGAATTGTGTGTAGGCTATGCTATTACTGTAGTGTTTCTTTTTCCACAGTAGTCAATAACTTTAACCTAAATTGTAAATGTCTGTACAAGGCTCATTGTCCCACCTCAAACTTGTTTAATTCCATCTACTTATGGTGAAGGAAGATATAAAAGAAGTAGAAACCAGGCACTAGTTCATATGCCTATGAGTCAATAGAGACTGAAATAATGGGCCATCTTGAGTTGGTTATTTTGAAATGTAGTAAAAATTATCACTGAGGTAAAACAATTCTATTAGATGGATGATCACAGGATACAGCCATCACCCTTTTCAGAACAGGTACTTTTTACTCTGGGCAAATAAGTAAGAATTATACTGTATGGTAATAGCATTTAGGTTCTAAAGAAAAGAATCTGCAGAGAAATCTATGCAATGTATAGATTAATTCTTATTTGGGGAAACAAATTCTGAAATTCCCCCGGAGTGGTTTACTCATTAATTAATTGAACGTCCTTCAAAAAAAAGAAAAAAAAAAGAAAGAAAGAAAAGAACTAATAACCGTGGTACCTGGAATGAAAAAGAAAAGCTCCCTGAGTTTTTTTTTGGTGGAACTAACTCTAAAAATACGTAAGTGGCTAAGTTTACTTGGTGCAGTCAAGAACAAACTTGTTGATTTTAACACTGCTACTACCTCTGAAATAAATGTCTGACGGTCCGGTTAAAAAAAAAGGAAAAAACGAAAATCCCCGTTTTCCTAAGCACCCCACCTCAGTAAAGAAAACACCCCATCTAGGAATTGCTCAAAACCGCCCGTGGCTGTGGCCCTCAGGGCGCTGGATGAGGGCTTCGGAGGCTGCCTGGAGGCCACCCGGACAGCAAAGGGGGAAAATGAGGTGCTGTGGCGTGTCGGGGGGGTTGTCAATAAATAACTAAACCTTTCAGTGCTTCCAAGGTCTTCGAGGGTCTGAGCCCACAGATGTCCGGAAAGGGGGCGACGCCGGGACCACAAAAATGGTTTCAGATTCCCACCACAGGAGAACGCTCCACGAGGGTCCTCAGCCGGCGCGCGGACCAGCCCTGTCCCCAGCCCCAGGGGATGGGGACGCCCCGCTGGGTTGGGAAGGAGTGGCGCCCAGGGAGACGAGGGACCGGAACGCGTGTGAAAAGGGTCTTTCAAAACCGCACGCAGAGGCCGCTCTCCGGCTGCGACACAGAGACAGGCCGCTAGGCAGTGCAAGGACAGGCGTGGGGTGGCGGAATTCCTTTCCTCTCCCCTCAAGGAACACTCCGACCGCGCCACGCCCGGTCCTTACCGACGCCAGCCCGCGGTGCTCCCAAGGCTGGCACCTGCCCTAGGAGCTCCCCAGCGAAGCCTGAGGAGACTACGGCTCCTCGGTTCCCAGGCGCCGAGCTGCCGCTGCTCCCGCTGCTGCCACCACCACAAACGCCTCCGCACCCGGGGCCGCCGCAACCAGTGACTGGCTACCAGGTGCCGGCGGGAGGCCGCAGGGGCTTCAGGGGCTGCGATCTTATTGGTCGGGAGCTTGGTTCGGGCGCATGCGCCTGCTCTGGCTCGTGGTAGGGTCTGCTGAGGGAGGGGTCAGGATGAGAGGAATGCGGGTAGCGATATACTAGATATTTGAGTTCCTGGGAGGATCTTGGGAGTCGAGGTTAACATGGAAGGCTGTGGTTTACAGGCAGAGAACAGACTCACACTCTACCAGGAAATAGGCTTCCCCACCTGGTGTACATCTCCTAGACTTCAAGTATGGTCTCTTGTCCATAAAATTTTGTTCCCATGTTTAAGGAACTTGAACACTGTGTCTCGCCGTCCATTTTCTTAAAGTTGCATCTGGGGCCAATCCAATCTAGCCTCTGCTATCTTAGTAGAAAGCTAAGATGGAGCTTTGCATTTTTTTAAGGGCTGAGAACCCCACAAAGGGACCTAAAAATTATATGACATTCAAATTTCAGTGTCCACAAATAAATTTTTATTGGACATAGGACATGGACATTCCTGTAGGTATTGTATATTGTCTATGGCTGCTTTCCTGATATAACAGCAAAGTTGACTGGCTGCCAGAGGTCATATTTGCAAAGTCTAAAATATTTACTATCTGGACCTTTATGGAATTATTTTTAATTGCTGAATTCTGCCAGAAGTCTATCTTAGGAGTTTTTTGACTTCATTAATCTATAATGCCATTCCCCGCCCCACCCTCATTTCATTTACGTCTTCTACTGTTCCGTATCTCTGTAGATTGTTCCTTTTTAAAACTTTTTGAAATAAATGCCTAACTTATTTGTTTAAATTCCTTTATTTCTCTTTCTGTAATGCTATAAATTTACCTTAATTTACTTAAGAACCAGTTTAACTGTGTTCCACAATTTTTGCTTTATGGTATGTTCGTTGTTTAATTCCATGTATGTCTAGTTTCCCTAGTGACTCATTCTCTTTTTAGCACAAGGGTTATATAATAATACGGAATTTATTTCCCAAATCCACAAAATTTTAAGAAGCTCTTTCTTTATCATTTTCTCATTTTGTTGTGTTGTGGTCAGGCACATAGTCTAAATATTATTCATCCTTTGTGTTTGAGGATTTCTGTTTAGTGAAGGATACCATGAGAAAGTAGACGATGTAGATATAGAGAAAATATTTGTAATGTTTAAAATGCATGTATGTGAAATGACCTCACTTAGCCCTCAAAATTATTCCAGTATCCTCCAGTAAGTTACAAGTAAGTAAGCTCCTAGCTTTCTTCAAATTTCACTAGTTTTTCCACTAAATGTCCTTTTTTTTTTCTGCTCCAGATTCCCATATAAGATACCACAATGATTTTTGCTATAGCATCTCCTAGCTTATTCCGGAAAGTTTCTTAAACTTTCTTTGTTTTTCATGACCTTAATGATCTTAAGGTGTCCTTAAAGTTCAAGTATTTTGCAGAATGTTTCTCAATGTGAGCTAGGTGTTTTTCTTATGGTTACACTTGGGTTATAAGTTTTTAGAATTCTACCACAGAGGGGACGGATCCTTCTCATAGCTTTCTATCAGGGATACATGCTATCAGTATTACTTAGCACTAGTTTCTCCACTACAAAGTGACATTTTTTTTTCACTTTCCACATTCTATTCTTTGGAAACAAGTCACTAAATCCAGCCTACACTCAGAATGGGGCATGGAGTCTCGTGAATGGGCGACTATCTTTAAAACTCAAAAAGTATAGCAAGTACACAAATTATTTGGAATTCATTTGTAAGGAAGATGTTTCTTCTACCTTTAAATTTAATTTTAAGTAATCAAAATTAAATAAAATTAAACATGGAGTACCTCCGTCACACTGGCTACATTTCAATGGCTCAGTCAGTAGTCACATATGGCAAACTGAACAGAGCAGGTATAAAACATCTCCAACAGTGCTTTTACAGACAGCACTGACTTAAATCACTATTTTTCTAACCCTTCTTCTTAAATACTTCTGTGACAAGGAAACTCAAGAGTCTGGAGGCTTTGCTAGAAACAAATGATTTATTCAAGAGTCTGGAAGTTTGTAATCTGGAATCTGGGCCTGATGAAGACAAAGCTGAACTTTTACAAAGTCGGATGGATGGAGATAAGACACCAGAAACCTGGGCACAGCCATTTATTCAACCCCAATAAATCTTACCACTAAACCTCATATTCCCATGCATGGGTCCCCGGACATGTTTTTCTCATGATTCCGTGAAAGGATCCTATTTCCACCAGCAACAAAAGGAAAAACCTGATTTGGATTTTTATATGAAAACTCAGAAACATTTGTCTGGATAGACACCAGTCTAGAGAGAACCACTAACTCCCCAGACTATGAAGCCACTCAGATAACAGGTATGTAGGGAGCCTATGCCTGTGTTCTTTCCCTACTGTATTTTCTTCTTCTGACAAAACAACATAAAACATACATAGAAAAACAAAATAATCATCTCTCTGGGAGAAAAGAATCAATAAAAAAAATTAAACATTGCTAGGCTTCAGAAGCTAAATTCACAGATATTTTTCCTTCCTACCAAGGTAAATTTAGAAGAGAGAAAAGACTCACCACTTCCAACTCCCACCAAGACCTGCAGACAAGAGATCAGAGGGGGCGACAGGGTAAATAAAATGCTTTCCACCTCTGCCGGCTGTGGTCAGGCGTCCATGGTCTCTCAGCTGCAGCAGTCCAGGGAGCCAGCAGTGTCCTACCTGGTACTTCTCCTGGCCAGCTCACCAAACCGTGGGGCTAAAAAAATATTAATACTTTCGCTCCCACCTTCTGAGTTGTTCTGGCTGGACTAAGTTAACAAAGACAGATTAACAGGTGGAAATCAAAGTGTTAATACAGGTGCATGGGGAATCCACATAGGCAGGAAAACTCCAAAGACAATGACGCAACATTAGGTATGTAAGATATTTTTGGGAAAAGGAGAAAGGGGTATTAGATTTCAGAAGTGCAAATGGGCAATTTACAGGTATTTGAGGAAGAGTGGAACACACAGGCAGGAAAATCCTTGTTAGGCAACTCAGAAATAATGGGACATGGGGCATGGTGGGGGGTGTTATCTAGTTAATTGGCACTTGCTTAAAGTCCTCTTGTTTACCATACTTAATTCAAATTAGGCTAAAACAAACATCCTAAGGTCTCTTTCCTAAAGCAGGTTTCTCTGTCTGAATCTCATGCAGGAAAGCAAGGAGGATTGAAGCTTCTTTCTGAGTCTCATGCTTTTTCATAAACAGCTTAAAGTCAATATCCCAAAAAGGCAGCTTCGGGATGACAGAATTTTGGTCCCTTTGATGCTTCTAAAGACTGTTTAAACCTCAGAACCACCTAGGACACTGTGATACGCCCAGACTCTGGGACTGCATTGTCACACCAGGAAGCTCAAATTGCTAGGGGAGGGGCCTGGGAATCTAAATGTCCAATGTTTGCCCATTGGATTCTTTTTTTAAGAAAAAATTTTTATTCATTTCATTTTTAGAGAGAGCAGAAGGGAGGGAGAAAGAGAGGGAGAGAAACGTCAATGCCTGGTTGCCTCTCGCACGCCCCCTACCAGGGAACCTGGCCCACATCCCAGGCATGTGCCCTGACTGGTGACCCTTCGGTTCACAGACCAGCACTCAATCCATTGAGCCACAGCAGCCAGAGCCCCATTGGATTCTTAAGCGAGAGTATCATGGGAAGCACTGATCTCTCAGGTATGACTGAAATATTTCTGCACCTGTTCTTCCAAAGGAAACCTGAGGGTGGGTTGAGGGTCAGGATTTTTTTTTTTTCATTTATTTGACATTTATACTGAGCACCTCCTTTGGGACAAGTGCAGTGTTGGGTGATACAATAGAACAATCACAGTCTGGAGTTTGAGCTGGGAGCTTTCCCCTTCCCCACTAAGTTTCCAGGACCCCCACCTCTTTTTCTGGGGCTTCTGGATGTCCTCCAATGTTCACGGAGGTTGGGTGTGTGAGCAAAACCCAGAGATCTAGGAGCAAACGTCTCAAGGAGGGCTGAATCACCTGGGCTGTGCTTTTTAAGCATCAGTGAACCTAAGGGGCCTTATGAAAGTAAAGATTCTGGTTCAGTAGTTCTGGGCAGGGCCTGACAGTTCGAATGTACCTAACAAGCTCCCAAGTGACAAGGATGCCGCTTGGCCACAGGCCAGATTTTGAGCAGTAGGTGGTACTAGGGAGCTTTTGAAAAGTCATGATGTCCTGGTTGATTCTGTTGACCTTCCTCTAAATGAACAGAATTGGTATCTCCAAGGGTGGGACCCAGGATTCTGCATCAGTAAAGCACCCAGATATTTCTAATCAATAGCTGGGTGGTAAAACCACTATTTCATTTGGCGATGGCTCCTGCTCAGCATTTACTGAGTAAAGTAGCCTGTCCAAATGAAGCCCTCACTGTCACTCCCTGCTATAACCTTGATTGTGTCCCTCAAAATTCATGTGTTGAAGCTCTAACCCCCCAGTACCTTAGAATATAATGATATTTAGCGATAAGACCTTTAAAGAGGTAAGTTAAAACAAAAACAAGGTCGTTTGGGTGGACCCCGATCTAACCTAACTGGTGTACTTAGAAGAGGAAACTTGGACATGCAAGGAGACACCAGAGATGCTGGAACATAGAGGAAAAGACCGTGTGAGGACACAGCGAGAATGCAGCCATCTACAAGTCAAGGGGAAACATCTTGGTCTCCAATTTCCATCTCCCCCCCCCATACTATGAGAAAATAAATTTCATTTGCCCAAGCCATTCAGTCTGTGGTATTTTGTTATGGCAGCACTAGCAAACTGATGCTCCCTTGAAAAGCCCCCAGTAGAGAGGGCTGACCTCAGTGACAGGTAGGAGCTGTTGTTACCTAAAAAGAAAAGGCTGAAGTGAGAGATAGCAAGCATTAAATTGAGATTTTGTTTTGAAAAGCGTAGCTATTCGGGGCACACTG